CACCCGCCGTGTGTCCGCACCAGCCGTGTTATCCGCACCCCGCCGGGTATCGCATCCCGCGTGTGTCCGCGTGTGTCCCTCTCCGACGACGTCGTGTCATCCACCGCCGTGTGGCCGCGTAGTGCTCTCTACCCGCCGGTGTTGTCTCCAGCCCGCGTCGCTGTCCTACTCACTCCCCGCGTGTGTCGCCACCCGCCTGTGTCCTCCACTCCGGCGTGTGTCCGCCACCCCCGCCGTTGTGTCCCGACCGTTGTCCTCCACCCGCCGGTGCCTCTTACCCGCCGTGTGTTCGCCACCCGCCGCGGTTCTCTCCTCCGCGTGTGTCCGCCACCCCGCGTGTTCCTCCACCCCGCCGTGTGTTCCACCCGCGGTGTGTCCTCACCCCGCGTGTGTCCTCCACCGCCGTGGGTCGCACCGCGTGTGTCCTCCACCCGCGTGTGTCCTCCACCCGCGTGTGTCATCCACCGGCCGTGTGTCCTCCACCCCGCCGTGTGTCGCCACCCCGCGTGTTCCTCATCGGCCGTGTGTCCGCGTGTGTCCTCACCCGCGTGTGTCCGCACCACGCCGATGTGTCTCCACCCGCGTGTGTCCGCACCCCGTGTGTCCCCACGCGTGTGTCCTCCACCGCGTGTGGTCGCACCCGCCGTGTTGTCTCCACCCCGCCGTGTGTCCTCCACCGCCGTGTGTCTCCTCCCGCGTCGTGTCTTCACCCGCCGTGTGTCGCCACGCCTGTGTGTCCTCCACCCGCCGTGTGTCTCTCACCCCGCCGTGGGTCCTCCCACCCGCGTGTTGTCCTCACCCCGCCGTGTGTTCTCACCCGCCGGGTGTCCGCCGTGTGTCCGCACCCCGCCGGGTGTCTCCACCGCGTGTGTCCTCCAGCCCGGCGGTGTGTCCTCCACCGCGTTGTTCCTCCACCCGCGTGTGTCTTCCACCCCGCAGTGTGTCCTCCACCCGCCGTGTGTTCCTCGCAGGCCCGCCGTGTTCTCGGCAGCGTGTGCAGTGAGGGCGCTCCGAGCGAGCGACGGTTGCTGAGCGCATATGCTCTATGTTTTCATTCCATATCTACTACTGCTATATCTACACATCGACGCAGTGATGTTCACTAACCGCTTCAGCCCTTCGTGATAACATTCGTTTTGTTTTTTGTATATGTTCATCCGCATGGCAAATTGACGAAGCAGCCATGCCACCGTTTACTAATTACGCTGCGACTTCATATCTACTGTTGCGCCATCGTGGGCCTCTTCGGTCACCAGTTAGAAATATGTGAAGATCGTCATAGAGTGCCTATACTGTGTTCCGCTATCAGAGTATGCTATGTGCAATCTACGCAGAGGCGTTATTTGCTGCGAATGATTCAGGTTAATAGTGGAGCGCTATGTAGTTGCTTTCGTTTAAAAGCTGCAAACAAATTTATATAAGTACATATTTTCGGCAGGAAAGCGGTTCTCGCGTCCTACGTAAACGTTGCACACATCAGCGCATGCGCACATACTAATTAACACGCACACTCGATGCGAATCACGTAAACAGAAAACAGACATAACACGGCGCACATAACAAATAATCCACGTAATGTATTACGGTAATAAAGCTGTGCACATTCAACACTGCAGCCAGCTAAATCTTTCTCTATCATCTACCATCTCGCTTTTTGCTTGTGCGCATCGTCGCCACGTAGACGTCTTGGACGTGTTGCGTCGCCATCGTCTCATCTACATATCAGCGGATACGTGACGCGAGGCGAGTACGATACACAGAGAGACGGTTGACAACGGCCGTGTGCAGTACTGGTACGGCTGAGTCGTTTCTTCGTCACGCTCACGGCCTTCATTATGTCACAGCTTAGCCTGTCGTCAACATCTCCGTCTACCTACAGGGACGTACACGACCGCGTAGAGAACATGCTCGGATGTACCGGAATATCAAGCAAGAGCGCGCGAGAATGGCGACATGCCCATCAACGAACACGGACCACTACAGATGGCGTGCAGCGCTATGCGCAGCGGCCGGCATCACGTGACATAACGGGCAAATTCCTGTACGCCCTCACGAAAGACGGAACTTACAGAATGGAGTGCGCGGTGCGCGAGGGGCGCCTCACGTGATACTACGGGCATTCCTTGTACCCCCCATCACGAAGACGACCACGTACCAGCATGGCGTTGCGTCGTAACCAGGGGCCGCCCACTTGATACACGGGCAATTCCGTACGCCATCAACGAAGGTACTAACTACAGATGGCGTGGCGTAGCGCAGGGGCCGCCACGTGCTACGACGGGCCAAATCCTGTATGCCATCAACGAAGACGACACCTCAGATGGCGTGCGCGTAGCGCAGGGGCCGCCACCACGTGACTACGACGCGGCAGCTCCTGTATCCATCACGACGATGATCACCTACAAGATGGCGTGCGGCGTAACGCAGGGGCGCCCACGTGACTACACGCGGCAACTTCCTGTACGTCATCAACGAAGGTGACTACCTACAGATGGGCGTGCGCGTTAGTCAGGGCCGCCCCCACGTACTCACGGGCAAACATTCCTATTATGCCACGAACGAAGTGATCACTACTCTCTCTCTCTCTCTCTCTCTCTCTCTCTCTCTCTCTCTCTCTCTCTATCTTTCTCTCTCTCACTCTGGGGTCTAAAATCTGACCTAACATAAAATAAAATTAGGTACGCTTGCGTTATTAGGTACTCCTAATTTATGAATTGACACTCACGTTCGAAGTCCGGTACATCAATGTCGTTCTCCGGCAGTACGTGCAGCGACTCCCCATCGCCGTATGCGTCCTCGGGCAGAGCCGGCATCCCGAGCTCTAAGCAAAGAAAGGAATCGGAAACGCATTGAACCGAGTTCAATTAGACTAAAGAGAGATAAAGTGAAGTTAAAGAGAAAGATCCCATGCGGACAACCTCATTTAGATGTTGTTATCTTGGGAAAGTTATACCCTATAGGGCATCACACCGTAGCACCGTATTTTGTATCGGAAGAACCCAACAATAAAGTGGCTTGAGATTATAATGCTAAAAGTATTGCTAAATGCATTCGAACATTAAATGCTGTCCAACCACGCATTCCTCGCTGTGTGATGATGATACAGGGTGGTATTAGCAGGTTAGTATTAGCAGGGTGGTATTAGCAGGGTGGTATTAGCACTGGTATTATCAAGCTATACGATACGCCGCTACGGTAATGCATTGCTTCGCTGTGACCACGGACGAACGAACTATAGCGAGGACAAATTTGACGATTTCTAGCTTTACGCTCTCACAGCACGAGTCAGCAATACATCGCGTGTCACGTTCGACCTGTGTCTAGCAGGCTGATCTGGATAACCCATGGGGAGCTGAGCTCGCATGCTCGCAAAATGTGCGACGCACCGACAAATACTTGTAAATCGTTCGGAATGTGTACCCGCGCGTGAGCAATGTCAAAACAAAACCATGAATTCGGAGTTAGACAGGCGACCCATGTACCGGTAGTAATCGTCATCGTCACCGTCATCGTCACCGTCATCGTCATCGACATCGTCAGCAAATGTTTGTAAGCCGTTCGGAGCGTGCATACGAACCGAAAACTGCAATGTCATCGTGAAGACCTGACTACTGGCTGAATGTTTGTGAAAGCGTTGAGTGCGATACGCGAACCATGTATACGTAATGATCGCGTGCGGCTCCTGCCCTCAGGCTACTGCTAATCACGTGAACACAGGCAGTGGTGGAAACAAGACACCGTAATTAAGCGACGTAGTACCGGAGTAAAGCTGAAAGCGGCAGACGCCAAACGCAATATTAACCAACTTAATAGAATAAAGGCAAAACGGTCGCTGCAAAAACGAAAAATCTATTTAAACATTTGTTGTCACATCTTCATCTCATAAATTTGCGGTCGCCGCTCCCACGCACACACACGCGCGCGCACGCACACACACACACCCACACACACGCACATATATACACTCACGCAACATGTGGTATAGGTAGGTATGATGTATAGATGGTATATAGTATAGGTAGGTATGATGTATAGATGGTAATTGATGGGCGTACAGGAAGTTGCCCGTGTAGTCACGTGAGGCGGCCCCTGCGCTACGCGCACGCCATCTGTAGGTGGTCGTCTTCGTTGATGGGCATGCCCATCTCGCGCGCCTTGCGTGATATGCCGGGTATGATGCGAGCCATGTTCTCTACGCTGGTCGTGTACGTCTGTAGGTAGACGGAGATGTTGACGACAGCGGCTAGCTGTGACATAATGAAGGCCGTGAGCGTGACGAAGAACGACCAGCCGTACCAGTACTGGAACAGCGGCCGGTTGTCAACCGTCTTCTTCTTGTTAGCGTACGTCGCCTCGTCGTTAATCGCTGATATGTAGATGATGATGGCGACGGCACACGTCAGACCTACGTAGGCGACGGATGCGCACAAGCAAGAGAGAGCGAGAGGTAGAGATGAGAGATGAGAACTGGTCAGTGGTGAATGTGAATTTATTTACCGTAATACATACGTGAGTTTGTATGTGCGCGTGTATGTCTGTTTGTGTTCGTGTTCGTGTGCGTGTATGTATGCGCGCGCGCGTGTGTGTAACGTTTCGTGCGCGAGAAAACGCTTCCTGCCGAAATAGTGTGAACAGTATTATATTTGTTTTGCAGCTTTAACGAAAGCAAAGATCAATAGCGCTCACTTAGCCTGAACATCGCTAGCATAACGCTGCGTAGATGCACATGCATACCTGATAGCGTGAAAAAGATAGCACTTATGACGATCTTCACATCATTTCTACGGTGACCGAAGAGGCCCACGATGGTGCCAATCAGTAGAAGAGTCAGCGTAATTATAAACGGTGGCATGGCCTTCGTTATTTTTCCTGCGGATGAACAAATACAAAAACAAAACGAATGTTTTATTCACGAAGGGCGCGAAGCGTTGGGAACATCACGCGTCGATGTGTAGATATAGCAGTAGTAGATATGGAATGAAAACAAGAGCATAGGCGCTCAGCAAACGTTCGCCGCTCGAACGCTGCCCTCGCCACGCTGCCGGAGAAACACGGCGGGGTGGAGGACACACGGCGGGGTGGAGGACACACGGCGGGGTGGCGGACACACGGCGGGGTGGAGGACACACGGCGGGGTGGAGGACACACGGCGGGGGGGAGGACACACGGCGGGGTGGAGGACACACGGCGGGGGGGAGGACACACGGCGGGGTGGAGGACACACGGCGGGGTGGAGGACACACGGCGGGGGGGAGGACACACGGCGGGGTGGAGGACACACGGCGGGGGGGAGGACACACGGCGGGGTGGAGGACACACGGCGGGGTGGAGGACACACGGCGGGGGGGATGCGACCACACGCGGTGGAGGACACACGCGTGGGGACACACGGGGTGCGGACACACGCGGGTGGAGACACATCGGCGTGGTGCGGACACACGCGGGTGAGGACACACGCGGACACACGGCCGATGAGGAACACGCGGGGTGGCGACACACGGCGGGGTGGAGGACACACGGCCGGTGGATGACACACGCGGGTGGAGGACACACGCGGGTGGAGGACACACGCGGTGCGACCCACGGCGGTGGAGGACACACGCGGGGTGAGGACACACCGCGGGTGGAACACACGGCGGGGTGGAGGAACACGCGGGGTGGCGGACACACGCGGAGGAGAGAACCGCGGCGGGTGGCGAACACACGGCGGGTAAGAGGCACCGGCGGGTGGAGGACAACGGTCGGGACACAACGGCGGGGGTGGCGGACACACGCCGGAGTGGAGGACACAGGCGGGTGGCGACACACGCGGGGAGTGAGTAGGACAGCGACGCGGGCTGGAGACAACACCGGCGGGTAGAGAGCACTACGCGGCCACACGGCGGTGGATGACACGACGTCGTCGGAGAGGGACACACGCGGACACACGCGGGATGCGATACCCGGCGGGGTGCGGATAACACGGCTGGTGCGGACACACGGCGGGTG